AATTACCCCAGTCAAATAATGCTGTCAATCTAATTCTGTCAAGAATCAGAGATGCAAAAAATCTTTGTTGCTGTCCTCTTTCTGACTATACCATATCCCTTTCACACTTCTCTCATTTATCCAACAACTCTGACCCACTCTGCTTCAGACCATGCCTTTGTATCTGTTTTCATACACTACACCAGTGGTCCCCAACCTTTTTATCGCCGCGGACCAGTCAGCCTTTGATAATTTTACCGTGGCCCGCTGAGCGCGCGCAGGGGTGGGGGGGCGTTGTTCGCGACGACACATTGATTGTTTATATATCACGTGCATACCAGCGCAGGGCTCTCTTCCCTGGAGCCTTTGCGCACGACCCAGGAGCTTTTGCGCACGGCCCAGGAGCCTTTGCACTGCAGCGATCATGTCCCCCGGCCGCTGCAGCGATCATGGCCCCCGGCCGCTGCAGCGATCATGGCCCCCGGCCGCTGCGCGGCCCGGTGCCAGGTACTCCACGGACCGGGGGTTGGGGACCACTGCACTACACAATAGACTAACTCACTTACTTGACATTTTATGGCTAAATATCCTATGTGTCAGGATAGTGTTTGCAGGATAGTGTCTGGAATGTTGTATCGAAAAGCTTTCCCAAATACATTAACTCTTATCCGGACCACCAAGCATGTGAAAAGAATGAGCAAGTTTTTGGACTCATCAAAATAAAATATTTCTAGGTAAAAACAGTTTTGCACTGCAAGTAGTACTGTATATTTCCTGTGTGCTAAAAACAGATAAGAGTTGTTGGTTTTTTAAAATTTTTTAGTGGATCTTGATGCAAACTGAATAAAATCACAACTATTTGGTACATAAACATCTTTATTATTGGGCAGCCTAAAGATTATAATTTGGGATTTGTATGATGCCAATTAATATTTGTTTATTTGGGTTCTTTTGCAAATTTGCAAGTTGTGTCCACGATCAAGTGAAGCTTCAGCAGACAAATTTAGAGAATATGAACAGATAGCATCACATTCACCTCACGTTTGTGACGTGGAAAAGGGAGACCAAAGAGTTTTCCAGTTTCTTCTCTCACAAAATATGAAAATAATTATACTAAGATAAGCTTAGGGACAAAGGACTACCCTATCGCAAGTGAGTATATAAGGTGGAACCTTGTTCTCTCAGTTCCTAGCCACTGATTTTTCTGGATGATTCATCTTTTGCAATGAGAGGTCAAAGCTCTCCACTGTGCCAAAATATCATCTCTGCTCCTTCTCTTGACAACTCATGAATGTCAGCAGAGGTGAAAACAGAAGGTGGGGAAATCGATCTTTGAGATACTAGTTCTCCCAGCACTAAAAAGACCCCCTTACAAAGTTATGGCTGAAAAACTAGTTTCTTTGTTTATACCTAAATGGGAAAGGAAGTGCTCTTCACCTCTCCCAACTTCTTTGACAAAACCATGGGTAGTTTTATGGAAGAGCTGCTCCTTTTCATGGTACACCTCTATCCCTTCCCCTAGTGCTTAGCTGATGCAGCACATATTCTGGGAGAGAACAATGTTTATATAAATGTCCAGCAGTCTTCAGAAGTGATCTTTGTTTGCAACTTGGAGCTGTGTTTTTATTTCTATATGGCTGCATTAAACTGCCTTGTTGCAGCTACCACTAGGTGGAACTCCAATATGCATGAGGTCTCAAAAGTATTCCAAGCTTAATTTGCCTGGAAGAAGTGTTTTTATTTGATCAGGGTTGTTGCCCTTTAAACCAGCTGTTTGGCGTCTAAGCTTTGAGACATGAATTGTGTGGATTTAGGAAAATCTCACTGAGGAAGAAATAAAGGAAAGTAACAAGATGTCAATAGTTCTCTTTGCCTTTGTAATATAGTATTTTTTCTATCCCCTCATCAGGATTCTTTAGAAATTCTTTTAGTGCTATTTTTAAGTTTTATATTGTTGTGAGTTTGCAGAATGTATTGCTTTTTCTGCTTTAAGCTACACCATGGGCATTTTTACAAGAATTCATGGCATAGCCCCCAAATCAGCTTGACTTCTACAATTGCTGCCACCATCTGTGTTTACCAGCTGAGCTGTTTCATTTCTGACTTAATTATACAGTATCCAAAACTGCAGGAAAAATAGGTGGAAAATGCTTTGCAAAACCTGCAGGCAGAGTATCATCCTCTTGATGGTACTTGTGTTACTCTGCCTCTCACTTCATCACGAAGCAAAGAGAAGGAGGCCCTCAAACAGCCAGAACATAAAACCTTGGGCTATGTCGTATATAATAGATCCAGAAGTCAATGGATAATCTTCAGGGGGATATAGAAACTCTTGGTCTGTTAACCATATGTGATCAGTATCATGATGGAATCAGAGCATGAATCACACATCCAGCCTATACTTGATACCCATTGATTTAGCTGTCCCGTATCCTGGGACAGACTCCAACACAATAGCAACCATCCCCTTTGCCACTAAGTGATCCATGCTGAAAATACCGGAGTGTGGCAATGACACAAGACAAAATATTAAATGGAAGAGCCATGCTAGCCATATATGCGGCAATACCACATCAAGATGTGTGTCCACGTGTATGTGTGTGGTTGTGTGTAAATAAATGTTACCTTATGTGTTATTGACACATAGATGGCTAGCAAGGTTCATCCCATGTATGGTCTATCTCATAAAAAACCTGATTCTGTGTGGCATACAATAAAGGTGTAAAAGTAAGCATATAAAAAAGAATCATTCTTTTTTTAAAAAATCCCAAGGCTAAGAGAGAATACCAACAATAAAGACAATAATGGGGCCACTACAATATCTCCCCAGTCTCCTGTGATCCCCAGCTCTGATAACCCAGAAAACCTACTGGGGTGGAGCAAACCTTATTTCACCATAGCTCCCTCGTTCTGGCATGCCCTGTATATGGAAGGAAAGTGGGGCCATTGATAGTACACAAGCTTGTAGCAGATGTGAAATCGGGAATCAAGTAAGAATTCAATCACAGAAATTATTTTTTAAAAAAATGGGAACACATAGACAGCCAGCACATTATGGCATTCTTACAAAAAGAAAAAAGGGGGGGGGGGGAAGTACAAGGATGTGGGTTCCTAATCCTTGTGCAGTCAACTGGTAAATTGAGTGTTCCAAAATACCCAGGGAAAAATGTAATGTGGGGAGACAAAACACCAGAGAGAGAGATGCCATTGCAGACTTCATGAGTGACCGGGGCAGAGGAATGCCTGAGAGAAGGAGATGGCCCTGGAGTGGCAGAATCAAAATGAAGTAGCAGAAGTTACAGGGTAAATTGTGTCAAGGTTCCTCCACTTGAGCATCAATGCTCCACACACCGACTACATACTATGAAATAAGGTGAGATCAAAGGGGGAAACCAGAGTTCTTAAACTGTTCTTGAGGTGCCCCAACAGTAGAGGTGCAAGTAGGGCATACGGATGCATCACCCAGGAATGTTTGCGGGGGCACCCTTGTATTAAAGAAATGAAGTTATTTGACTACAGCCTCAAAGAAGTGGCAGGCTTCCTTTTGCAGGATTTGTAGAAAGACTAGTCAGCCATCTGTGATAATTAGGGGGCTCGAGAATAAAACATATAAAGAATGGTTGCTGGAACTGGTAATGTCTAGTCTTATGAAAAGAAGGACTAGGGGAGACATGATAGCAGTGTTCCAATATCTCAGAGGTGCCACAAAGAAGAGAGAGTCAAACTATTCTCCAAGGCACCTGAGGGTAGATCAAGAAACAATGGGTGGAAACTAATCAAGGAGAAAAGCAATTTAGAACCGAGGAGAAATTTCCTGACAGTTTGAACAATGAATCAGTGGAACAGCTTGCCTCCAGAAGTTGTGAATGCCCCAACACTGTAAGTCTTTAAAAAGAGATTGGATAACCATTTGTCTGAAGTTGTGTAGGGTTTCTTGCCTAAGCAGGGGGTTAGACTAGAAAACCTCCAAGGTCCCTTCCAACTTTGTTAAATTATTATTATCTGTTGAGATTATTTTAATCTGAATTCGTGCATTGAGCAGCGGGTGGCACTCAGTGGCCACTGTTTTTCGTGGCTCTTTCTGTAAATTTCTCCTGCTTCTATTGCTGTCTTTCAAATCACAGCAACCACCTGACTTCCTTCTAAGGTAACAAGTAAGGAAGCTATGCAGAATTTACATAGCTTAGAGCTATCCTTAGACAATAACAGAATAGAGGGAAATTCTATTTTAATCACAAAACAATTAAAAATACAGGCACCAGCAATGAAGAGATCTTACAGTCCCCTGGATTTATAATTTATAAATTAAGATATAGGTAGTCCTCAACTTATTACTAATCTTTTAATGATAGCACGGCAGTGTCAGAAAAAGTGATTTATGACATGTCCTCACACTTATGGCCATTGCACCATCATCCTACAGTGCAGTCACATGCTCACAATCAGGGCAGTTGACAACCAGCTTATATGCATCATGGGTTGCAAAATTCTGCCATCACATAATCATAATTTGCAATCTTCCCAGCTATTTTCTGATAAAAAATGTAAATTGAGGAAGCTGGATTTGCTTAACAATCAAGTTAAGCAAATCCAGTGATTCACTTAATGGCTGTGGTTTTTTTTTTTTAAAAATCATACAATCTGGTCCAGTCATGTGATGATTTACTTTATGACTATTCTAATTTACAAAGGAAATTCTGGTCCCAATTGTGATCATAAGTCAAAGACTTCCATAAGACTACTGTTGGATGGTACCAAAATAAGAGGGAAACCCCTACTAAGATGGTGTAAATCTCTCTCAGGTATGAACTGAGGCAAGTTGAAAAATATCCTGAGGGGATTGGTAGAAAAAAATGGGCAAATTTTGTGCTGTGTTTAATTTGTTGCAAAGACTCCAAATATGCCATTTGAAATGATGAAAAGAAGGAACACCTAGCAAAATTCTTCTCCAATACATTTGCTTTTTTATTGTTGATGAAGAAAAGTCATTGAATATGCATACATTTATATATATATACACACACATACACACTACACATACACACAAACATTCATACATCATTATATATACACACATCTATGGTTGTATAAAATAAAGAATGGACATAGTGTGATTTTTCATGGATGAATCAATGCAGACATTGTTTCAAAAAAAAAAGCCGAGGCCACTACTGAACACAAGTATACACCAGACCTGTCCCCAGCACAATAGATTTCTTGCAGAGTCCCCTTAATGCTTGCAAGAACCATTTTCATTTTTTTTTAATTTTGGGGGGGAGGGGCAGAAGGAATCCCCAAAAGAATGATTTTCCAAGATTCAACATTTGATAGAAAACAGAAATGGGGAAAGAACAGGCTTTTTAAAAATGTTAAATGACACAACAGGAGTGGAATATTTAAAAAGACGCAGCTGATCTTCCATTTACTGAAAAGTGGGTAAGTCTTCACCACATATACGAATCATCAAACCTATGAAAAAGAAAGACAAAACTAAAGTAAACCTTTTCTTTAAACCTTACTTCGAAGGAAGACTATCTCTACACTACACTATTGAATTTATGGTTTGCTAGTGATGTAATTATAAATTGATTCTTGACCTTGTAGAGGTTTGGAGGGATTCTAAATCTGAATAAACATTCATCCATGCAGATGAAACAAACAAATGGGTATAAATGCCATTTTTGCTGGGATTAGTTTGCATGGATCAATAGCAGCCTTATCCTATTTATTTATTTATTTATTTATTTATTTATTTATTTATTTATTTATTTATTTATTTATTTATTTATTTATTTATTTATTTATGTCAGAAGCATCACAATTAAAATAAGGCATATGACGTAACGTTTAAAATATAAAATAAAAATATGTACAAATTAAACAAATCTTGCCCAGAAACTAGTAATTGTGTTATTCAATGCAATGCTAACATAGAAGTCATAAATTGTGATCCCCATAACACTAAAAGAGGACCAGATTGAGAAAGGCTGCAGTACAGAATAGCTTTCGCCTTTCATTAAAGAGTGGCTGATGCATAACATTTGACATATATACTGGTTGTTAGTAGTATGTATGTGTGTGGCACAGTGGTTACAGTGCAGGCTAACTGCAATTTGGCAGTTCAAATCTCACCAAGGTCAAGGTTGACTCAGCCTTCCATCCTTCTGAGGTGGATAAAATGAGGACCTAGACTGTTGGGGGCAATATAATGACTCTCTAAATGGCTTAGGGAGAGCTGTAAAGCATTGTAAAGCAGCATATAAGTCCTCTATTGCTATTTAAGCCATGTTTGATAAATGAGATGCAATTTCTATTCAGATATCATATATTTGAAACTGTAGAAGTGGTTTTTTGAAACCCATTGAAAGCCTGCAACTCTACAAAATTTGTAAGATAGTTTCTAGATAATCCATTTCTCCAGGAATTCTGTGGTTAACTGCAGCCAAAACTTGATGGATTTGCAACTTCCAAAACTAGGTATTGTTTTGCTTTTACATGCAACCAGAGAAATGCACAGCCTATGAAATAGGTGGTAGTAGTAGAAATTTAGTATATTTTCATCTTGTGGGAGATTTAGGAGACTTTTATTATACTACTAGGAGTTCCACCAGTTCAGAAACAACAGTGGTTTTTTTCTCACTATTCCAAAGTCAACAGAAGTAAAAATAATTACATATTATTTTTAATAAGTATAAATGGGAATTGAATGGACTGTAGCATCTTTATAACATAAACTGCCTAGACTCACCTTGATCTGGCATTGCTATTGTCTCCAAAAACAAGCTCTGACATCAAGGTCTCTGGGATAGATCTCTTGCCATACCTGATTATAAAAAGTAAAGACTGTTAAAGCTCCCCAATTGTTTCCTTGGAGAGAAAAAGCTTCCCAAATGCAATTCACTTTTTCCTTATATCTAGATCCCTGCAATTACAAAAAAATAAAATAAAATCCTACCAGCTAGGACTGATTATCTGGAATAGGCCTTGAAAATATAACATGATATTACTTTTTAAGTATTTAATATTTGATTGTCTTCCTTTTATTGTATTTCTTATTTATATATATATCATGTTTGGTTAATTCCCTAATCATCTGGATGGATGAAAAGGCAAGATATAAATAAAATAAATCATGAACAAAATGGGTAAATAACTAAATAAATCTTAGTTACTGATCATCTGCAAATTGTTAATAGCCAGGGAACCCACCATCAATTTCTGCACAACCAAGCTTAAGGCAAGAAATTTTAAACATTAATCAAGCCTTAGCTCTATATTTTCTCATTTAGCAGATTAAATTCTGTTTTGGATTTAGAGAAAATGAAATAAAGCTTGCTTCCTTTTCTCACTATGCAATTTCTTGGCAACAATATGCCAGTACTTGAGCACTGTCTTCTTCTGGGATTTTTAAAAACTTCCCAATTTAGCTTATAACTATGGAATTCCCTCAAATTATCACCCAGACTAAACCCCTTAGCTTCCAGTTCCAGAAAAAGTTTTACCACTTGTTGAGATTTAGAATGTACAGCTGATTAAAAAATCTGAGTGCTCAGTTTATACAGATGTCCTCCACCTATAATTTTTTGTTTATTGATTATTCAAAGTTACAAAAATACTGAAAAAAGTAACTTACAACCAGTGCTCACACACAACCATTGCAGCATCTCCATGGTCACCTGGTCCCAATTTAGATGCTTGGCAACCAGGATTTATTTACAATGGTTGTAGTACCCCAGATCATGTGAGCCCCATGCGATTTGTAACCTTCCCAGCTGGCTTCCAACAAGCAATGAGAGAAGCCAAATTTGCTTAATATGATGCATTTAACACGATTCATTTAACAACTACAGTGATTCACTTATCTAACAAAAAAGATCATAAGATTGAGTGCAATTTTATGCAATGACAGTCACATTGCTTAGCAATTGAAATTCTGGTCCTAATTGTGATGGTAAGTCAAGAACTATCTGTAGGAGGTTCATCAACTAGGTCTATGCAAAAATCAGGGGACATATATTTCAGATTTTTTTTCTCCACTCTTTTTAATCATTCTGAATGATAATAGGCCCAGAGTTTCATAGGAAGTTGACGAAACATTATTAGTTAATAGGTAGCTAGCAAAAAGCAGTTGTTCAGCTGTACTGAAGATGTGCTCCTTTGCTGGAAGGTGTCAAGAAAAGATTGGAGAAGCATTTGCCTCGGATGTTATAAGGATCCCTGCCTTGGGCAGAGGGTTGGACTAGAAGATGTAAAGTTACAGCCCTATGATTCAATGGTTTCATAACTAAACTGACTACATTTTTCCCACTTACTCTAAAATTCAAGAATATTTATACAGAAGAAAATCTGTAAGTTGACTTCTGGCTGCTAACAAGAAAAAGTTCTTTGATTGGCTTCTGCAGGAAGAAATTCACTGGTCTTCCATGACTCAGCAAAAAAAAAACAGTTTTTCAACTTTACAACTAGACTATGGACACTGAGAAACTCAAAGTATTAGTAGTACTAATACTCAAAAGTATTAACAATAGTATTAAACACCAACAACTGAGAGAGAGAAGTGCTCCCTGATGGTCTCCTGGATCTGGTTTCCAATTAAGTTTCTAAGTAATAAGAACTAATAGGATGGTGTAGGCTTTCATGACTGGTTTCTGTTGGGCAGTGTTGGGCTTCAGGATTTAGTGACCATTCACTAGACTAGAGTACGATCAATAAATCCTGGAGCCCAACACTGTCCAGCTAATGACCTGTTCCAAACAGCCAACACTAATAGGAAAAAAAGCTAACTGGGCATTTTAGAGCCGAGTTCCTCATTCCCTCCTAAAAGACTGCAAAGCACAGCAGTCCCTGGAGAGCATCATTATGTATGCACACACTTGCACCAGGAAGAGCCACTAAAGTAACTGTAAAGTGCATGCACCACACTGATATACAGGCTTATTAAGTGACTGAAAAACGTTAAATTTATCAGAATCTGTAAATTCTACCAGGATAGAATTTTGAATTATATTACTTTTTGAAGTACTTGGCTGAAGATAGATGCAACATGAAAAGAATCCATAGCTTCTAGACAGATCTGATATAAAAATCCAATGCACTGAATAATTATGACTTAAGATGGTGCTTGTTCATGTAAACCCTATAGTTTCTCAATCAACAGTCTTGCATTCCCCTTTTACACATAGCCACCTATTTGCTATTGAAAATTTTCCACTTAGGAAAAAAACATTAACAAAATGTGCTTGGAGATGGAAGCTTGAGTGAAATGAGGCTGCATTAATTCCTCATATTCTTTGGATCCACACAACAAATTCTTACCCATTGTACATTAAGAAGAAATGAAATAAATCAAAGTAGCATTCACAGGTGGACAAATGGCATAAAATATAACCCATGAAACATGCCCATGAAAAACTACATTCATCCTTTTGCACACCTTTGCCTTGTCACCAAGTTAATGTAATGCCGAAGGTCAGCAATATATTTTGCCATTTCTTCTGGCGAAGCATTTTCTCCAGGACTCTCAGGCTTGGGTGGATAGGCTTCCACAAAAGTTCCCAGACAGAACATGATGCACAGAGCCATGGCAATCACAAGAGGCCAAGACTTCAGAGAGGCAACCATCTAGGAGGAAACAAATAATACTGATAAATTCATAAAAATCTAATCCATGCTAGCCTAGATGTAACACTGCCACAAGTCTGATATTCTCAAGTTCTGCATGAAGTCTACTTTTATATTAACTGTCATACCTATAATAAACTTAGTAAGATATATTGCTGGAGTAACTTACAATTTGCATATTGTATTCTCTCTCTCCCTCCCTCCCTCTCTGTATTTCTGTCTGTGTGTTTCTGTCTCTCTCTCTCCGTCCCCCCTCTCTCTGTCTCGCTGTGTTTCTGTCTCTCCCTCCTTCCCCCTCTCTCTGTGTGTTTCTGTCTCTCCCTCCTCCCTGTGTTTCTGTCTCTCCCTCCCTCTCTGTCTTTCTCTGTGTTTCTGTCTCTCTCCCTCCCTCAGTCTCTCTGTGTCTTTGTCTCTCCCTCCTTCCCTCTGTCTCTCTGTGTGTTTCTGTCTCTCTCTCCCTTCCCCGTCTCTGTGTTTCTGTCTCTCTCCCTCCCTCTTTGTGAGTTTTTCTGTCTCTCCCTCTCTCCCTGTCTCTCTCTGTGTTTTTGTCTCTCCCTCCCTCTGTCTCTCTCTGTGTGTTTCTGTCTCTCTCTCTCTCCCTTCCCCCTCTCTCTGTCTCTCTCTGTGGTTCTGTCTCTCTCACTCTCTCTGTCTCTCTCTCTGTGGTTCTGTCTCTCCCTCCCTGTCTCTCTGTGTTTCTCTCTGTCACTGTCTCTCTCTCTTTCTCTCTCTCTCTCTCTTTGTGTGTGTGTGTGTAAAATCATTTGATATTTCATACACTTATCATCTGAATGTTAACAATTGCGCAAAAGCACCATCTCACCATACTAAACATCAGGTTCACTGATATCTTTAGCCTAGTTTGTCAAACTCTGCTTAAGAGTTGATCCTGTGGACCATTTGCCGATAATGCTTTTCTAAAACCAGTCTAATCCTGACTGCACGGGAACAGAAACATCTGCTTGGAAGAAAGCACACATATAAAAAGTAAGGTGGGATGTGAGCTATCAATAATCTTGTCCATTTATTCCATAAAATACACAGTGGCACAACTTTTTCATCCAGGAATTTCCTCCACCCTGTCCCAGCTACTCACTGTGGAAAGGAGATTCAAAGGCAAAGCTGGATATGAAGAGATGCTGAAGCTCTGTGATCTTCAAGTTGAATCTTGCAATTGGCTCTGTTAACAGCTCTCACAATCAGGGTTTATATACTTGGTAAGTGAGTAAATGAAGGAGGGGGAAGGCTCCTCCCCCTCCCTCATTTTCTCTCCCCCCCCCCCAACATGTTCATTCAATCATTCACCCATAATTTGTTGATCGATGCAATTCTGTATCAGCTACCTTGATTATCTTTCCAAGGAAACCACATATGCATGCCAAGGGAGGGAGGAATTAATTAGAAAACTAGATGAACCCAAAGGGAATTACTACAACTTTTGATGACCATCAGTAGGATGGCAATGATGGAGAAGTCTATCCCCTAAGAGAATATAATGCTGAGTGAAGATACATTCTTTTAAAAGCATAAAAAATATCCCATTGGAATGGACAAGTTCATATTTAAGACAAACTAGAGTGCAAAAGAAACTTCATTCACATAGTAGACCAGATCCTTTTGCTTACAACTATTCTTTCAGACAGAACCAATATCAAGGGCTTAGAAATAACATATGGGATTAAAGAAAGCATTGTATTTTCAAGTAAAACAGAAGGCAACATTTAATTTTCCAATAATATACGTAGATTGCTATGACAGTTCATGATTACATATGGTTGTAAAAAGCAAAAGGAACATAAGTCCGGAGAATTGTTTTCTTCTCCAAAATTATTAGTTGAAAGAGAAATATTATGCTTGTTTTAACTTTTACATCTTCTTTATTGTGTGTTTCTCATAAAAATACGGGAAACCAGCTGCCATTTTCTGCAATTATTAATCACGCTTCAGTCATTTCAACACAACTGAAACTGTGCACTGTTGATAGCTCACCAGAAAATCCAAGTATTGTTATTAAGCAATATTTTTTGTCCTCATCTTTTAACAGATCACTGGATTTCCTCTTTTCAGCAACTTGTCTCTATTTTTTTTTATTTCTTCCAATCATCAGATTTTTTTAAAATAATCCTTTTTATTATTATTTGATTTTCCTCATTCTTATGACTGGATGGAGCATCATCAGCCATAAAAAGAGTTTCAGGGGCCACAGATGAACCCAAAGTCTTAGATCATTACTCCTATGCTCCAAATAAATAGATGCCTGGGTTTCATGAGGGGCTACTTAGCATTCCTCTGAGAAATTGAGGGTATTCAAATCTCTGGAACAGAAAAGAAGAACACAATGTACTCATGTTGTTCAGGTAGTCCTTGATTTACAACCACAATTGAGCCCAAAATTTATGTTGCTAAGTGAGACAGTTGTTAAATGAGTTTTGCCCCATTTTACCATCTTTCTTGCCACAGTTGTTAAGTATATCACTGCAGACCCTTGTTGAATGAATTTGGCTTCCCATTGATCTTGCTTGTCAGTTTATAAATGGGGACCACATGACCTGGGACACTGCAATAAATTTGTGTCAGTTGCCAAGTGCCTGAATTTTGATCATGTGACCATGGGGATGCTGCAAAGGTGGTGTGAAAAAGAGTCACTTCTTTCAATGCTGTTGTAACTTTGAATGGTCACTAAATGAACAGTTATAAGTTGAAGACTAGCTGTACACCTTTTCTTGGTGATTCTACATACTCTGAATACATCAGCAAGCAGTCACCCCTCCTCCCCCACTCATGTTAATTAGAAGTACAAATGATTTGTTAATTAATCATTGCTTTGCTGTCCAATCTCCCATTAAGAGTTGATTGCATCACAAAGATTTTTTCCAACCTAATCAATAGTCATCCAAATTCCCACTTTAGAGACAGATTAGTTGCCCTTGTAGTTTCAATTCATTAAAACAGTAACTCGAGTGGAAAATATTTCAACTTTTAAGCATTGACAAGTCATGGGCTAAACTACCGTATGTATCCCACAACCCTGGAGTGATATGGAAGCTTGTCTTCCATTCTTTCCAAACTTAACATGTTATTGACTATTTCATCTACTTTACCTTTGAATTTTATATTCTGTTTTTTAAATAGTCACACAGTGACTGATAACAATAGATAATTTCTTATTTTACACTAAAATTAACCGTGAGTGAGCTCTTGTAACATATTGGGCGTTTATCCCTGTGATTTTAGAGTGCTCAGCTGAAATTCTGAAATCTGAGGTTTCAGTTGAGAATGCTAAAGTCACAAGAACAAGCTCTCCAAAATCTTACCACTTATGAATTGATCTTCCTTTTTTTAAGATTTGGTTTGTGTGTAATCATGTAATTTAGAAATAATTTAGGAATCCATATATGTAGGGATAATTTGGAAGATGGATTTATGGAACAATCTGAGATTTTCAAACATAGTCCTCCCTCTACATTTAAGCTATGGTTATAGGGTGATTGGATCTTTTCTAACATATCTTTAACCAAAATAACAAGCTATCCTTTTTGCAGGTAACTTGGTGCTGAAATGTTTACGGTAGAGCAAATGAAAACAACAGACGAGGAACATTAGCAAAAAATTCCTTTTATAGCAGTGAAAGAAAAATTCATTTGGTCAAAAGTATTTATGCACTTGAAGTAAAAACTTCCCTGAGACAATTTGATTGATTGTGACTGATTATCAGAAGTGGTATTCAGCCAGTTCGGACTGGTTCGCCCAAACCAGTAGCAGAAATTGAGGGTGGCCAGCTCTATGCCATCCTATTTAGACATGTTTTCAAGCCAAAGTGCATGCGCAGAAGGCCAAGCACATGCATGGATATGCGCACTCACATTTATGAACTGGTAGGGAAAGTAAGTGAATACTATCCCTGCTGATTATGTAGCCATCATTTCAGTTTCTGGATAACACAGTAGATGGAATTTGCCACTGCCTTCTTCTGGGACGGTTATCAATTTCTCAATCTTGCATATAACACTTAACTTAATTCTTATTTCTTGAACCCATATACAAGCAGTAAGTTTGCATGTATGCACATTTTCTAACTGTTGGAAGGAAGCTAACAATTCAACAAATGTTCCAAGATATACAGTATACATGCAAATTACCTGCAAAATGCAAATAAGAAAAAAGCATGAACATTTGCTTCTACATATTTTGGAGAAAGTATGGATTCAGAGAGATCAGCATATAAAATACACATATTAAAATAAATTTATACATAATCCAGATGCTATGTCTATGAAGACTCTTTTAATGATACAGGTGAGAAAAAATCTTAGTTAAAAAACTGGAAATCTCTACCAGAATTTTTTTTTAAATATTCTATACAAAGTGAAGATGAAAACCCTGTTAATTCTGCAGGTTTTTGCAAAAGCCTAACGTGGACCTAGCCTCATTGAGAACAATATAGAAAGAACGTCCTAATGATTATAGAGGCTTCAACTTTAAAGACACCTTTAAAGTTGCCAACACTGAAAGATAGTGAAACATAACAAGCCCATCACAATTTAAGCAAAATATACTAATTAGCAAATATTAATAACTAGCTGATAATTTGGTGTTGCCCAAGTATTTATTTATAGAGGGAAAATGTAAGGAACAAACATAATTTCTAATGTTGGATTTTCCCGTTACCAGAGGGAGTCCCTTTGTGGAGTACTGTGAAGCCATTACTATCACAATTCCACTGCACTGTACAGTTGAAGCCATTTTATGGCAGTACAGTAGAAGCCATTTGAAGGCACAACAGGCTATATCATAACAGAACACATACTCCGAGGGGTGTCAGAGGTGTCTTACTCTCCACAGTATTTGTTTCCAGAGATTAAGTCATCTGTGTACCAAGTTTGGTTGAAATTGCTTGAGGCATTCCAGAGTTATGCTGGAACACACACACACACACACACACACACACACACACACACACACACACACACACACACACACACACAGGTTTTGGTGTGTTCGGGTCTTTTCCCGTGTAAGATTGAGAGTATCTTGGCGACGTTTCGATGAGGTCCCACTCGTCATCCTCAAGCTGGTGTCTTCGGCCTCGTGCCTATGCTCGCAGCCTGAGGATGATGAGCCTGAGGATGATGAGTGGGACCTCGTCAAAACGTCACCAAGATACTCTCAATCTTACACGGGAAAAGACCCGAATACACCAAAACCTGCATACCTGTACCCATGAAAATCTACAAAAACACACACACACACACAAATATATATTTAACTATTCATAAATAAATGAAAAATGAAAATATATGCTTAATGTCCTCCAGAGAAAGTAAAGACGAATTAAAACACAAAAGGAAGATGATACATAATTTTAAAGTGGTATAAAAGAATATATTTTCTGATTTTCCCAAAGTGAGTGGACCTCTGTAAAAAGACAACAATCATAAAACTATTTCCTGGAAGATTTGCACCCATTTCTGGATAAGGAGGATTTACTGCTCTCAGTCATTCTTACCTTAGTCATCTCCCAGATAGACTACTATAATGCTGTTTAGATGAGGCTACCCTTGAAGAATATCTGGAAGGTTCCCAAATGCAGTGTTGTGTGTTCCAAGATCTGCACATGCTACCAACTCTGCCATTAGAGGTGCATTGGTAGCCAGTTTGCTTCTGGATCCAATTCAAGACTTTTGTTACCACCTTTAAAACCTTACATTGCATAGGATTGAGATATTTGAGGAATGCCTTTCTACCGATTCCATCAGGTCTGGCAGGATGTGCATACGCTGTGGGTCCCATTGATTTGTTGGCTTACTGGAAGATGCTTAAAACAAATTTTCAGCGAGCTTGGAACTCTCATGATGCTAGATGGCTGTATGGCAGTTACTGGAAGGGACTCCCTATGCTTCTTTTGCTATTTTGTTTTTATCTTGTTTCTATTTTAACCCAAACTGGTTGTTTCAATGCTTTTATATACTTTATTATCAAGGTATGTTGTCCAGAATAACTATGTAAGATGGGTGGCTATACAAATGTGAATGAATAAAATTAAAAGTCCAAATAGATTTACAATACAATAGTGAATGCCGTGCATAGCCTGACTCTGAATGGAATTAAATTTAAATTGGGCCAAAACAATATGTTAAAAATATTCCAATATATGGATCAGTTAGAGGCGTGGCTGTGCATCCCC